CCCCCCCCAAGCACATACCCACACTGTTAATCCAGGCCAGGGTTGATGGCTGGCATCCTTGGCTATGTCTTCCCTCTTGGGTGACTCTCGGATCTTGGATGTTTGGGATCCTGTTCACACAGCTGGATTTTCCTGGGGGGGGGGCTACAGACCTCCTGTGTGAGCTGGAGGGTGGGCTGATGGAGAGACAATTAGATGGGGGCCGGGACAGATTCGGCATTTGAAGATTTTGGATTTGGGAGATTCAGGATTTGGGAGGTTTGGGATTTGGGAGATTCGGGATTTGGCAGGTTTGGGATTTGGGAGATTCTGGATTTAGGAGTTTTGGGATTTGGGAGATTCGGGATTTGGCAGGTTTGGGATTTGGGAGATTCTGGATTTAGGAGGTTTGGGATTTGCGAATGTTGCTCCTGCCTTGTAGAGTGTTTCAGGTTCTAGTGGTTTGGTTTTGGCCTGGCACAGCCGCACTGTCATCTTAATGTTTCTGTCTCACTGGCAGCCCATCGCTGACCCCCCTGGTTTGGGTGGGCCCTGACGGGGGCTCCCTCCACCTGCCGGAGTGCTGTTTGACTTCAGAAATGGGATTCAGGAATCTGTTTGCCCGGCCTTGTTTTCCTTGGGATATTCGGGCCGTTGTGTTGGCGTGTTTTTAATATATAATGCACAGATCATTTGCATTTTCATTCTCTCTGTTTTTTTTCTTCTTCCTTGTAGATCTGGAGAGGTTACACCCTGCACCCAGCACTGAAGGCCTGAGGTTGACGTCCATCTTGCTCGCTTGGCGTATTCTGCCGACGCCCGCCCACCCATGGCGTAAATGAAGGCCACCCAGTTCCCCGAACGCTCGGCTAAAACCATGGGCCTTAATGGAACTCTCCGGAAAGGCTGGCCGCTGATTTGGATCTAGCTATACCTGCCCCCTCCCCAAACCCCCCATTCTCGCCATGAGGATCAGCCCCACCTCCTGCCTCTGCCCCTTCCTGGTCTGCCTCTGCTTTGTCCTCCATTGCTATGGCGATGGCCACCACGGCACAGCCGAGATACCCTCCCGTAACCAGACGAGGCACGCTGAGGCGGAAAGCGAGGTACACCACCGGCCCAAGCGTGGCTGGATCTGGAATCAGTTCTTTGTTTTAGAAGAACACATTGGACCAGACGCCCAATACGTGGGGAAGGTGGGTGTGTCCGCAACCTCATTGGCTCGACATTCTTAAGCTTTTTATTTGCACTATTTCATCGTGGTTTCACACACAAGTGCTTCACTCGTGTACTTCACCCGGTGTCAAGTGATGAGACGCAGAGAGATTTAATTTGATTTGACTGCCACCTTAACCAGGTCTGAACCTTAAACAGGGTCAAATCCACATCCTAAAACAGTTTCCTTTCATTATTTACTGCATGAGGGAATCGTAATGGTCTAACAAGTGTGAACTTTGCCCTGGGGGCACACAGAGTGAAAGTAGCGTAAAATTTGCACAAAAATCCTAGTTTCGCTCCATCTATGATTAATGACAGCTGGCAGTTCATTTATAATTATATTTAAGGCCAGAGTTAAGATTATGTTTACTGCTATGCACAAAAGAAGTTGTTCTATTAATCAATGTATGGCAATAATGGATGAGTCATACACCACAGGCATCTTGGGTAATGAAGTGTGCATCCAATAACACGCCTTAGGCAGAATGAGTGGTGAAGGTATGTTTTTTTCAGAAGAAAGTCTCAAACAAACAGGCCTAATCCCCTGTCGTATGACTTCTATCTGATTTTATTCCTCTTCTTATGAATACTTTTCTTTCTTATGCTGACATTCCCTTAAGATTATCCCAGAATCCTACAAAGCTTCTTTTCATTTGTTAGTTACTTTATTCTCCCCTCCAAAAGCTGGCAAATCGCGTTTCAAGTACCATTCTGACTCTTGAAGCACTCTATGGTAAACGGAATCTGATTGGTGGATGCATTGGCAGTGGACTCCACCTTCGTGGCTTGCATGGTGGTTTTTCCGTTTTCCTCCCCCAGATCCTCTGTTCTCCCCAAACTGACGATTTGTGTCACTCAGGCTCATTCCTTGCTGTTTTCTCGCTGTGAGGCGTTACAGTCACGCGTGTGCTCATGTCACAAAGAGAAAGCTTCCTTGTCCAGCTCGTGGTGAGCAAATTATTTCCAGAATGACACACGTGAGACTCTGTGGGAGGACGGTGACATCAGTTAGGAGAGCGGGGGAGTGACGGGTCCTCACGGTGGGAGGCAGACATGGCGATGCCGTTTCCAGCATTGCGCAGCCGAGGTTACGTCGAAAAGGCGGCGCGGACTAATTTTTGCTGTTGCGATGCGGATTAGACTGCAACAGAGACTTGATGTTAGCGGGCACAGTTTGTTGGGAGCCTTCTAGAAGGTTTTGGAGGTTTCAGAGTGAAATAGACTCATCGTACTTACACCAGGGCTTGGAGACCTCCAAGAGCACACACTAGCAGAGACCATGAACCTTGTACTTGTGCCTGAAAATGGACAGTAAGCTAGCATGAAGTGTACAGCTTTGACATATGGAGTGTATTCAGCGGCGGGGCCACAGGGGCCCTGGCATTTGACATTATGGTTCACGTGGACCTAGAACTCCTTCCCTCCGTCTTGGAGGTCTGGATTAGTTGGGGGAGTGGGATCTCAGATGGCCTGATCGGTGTTGATTGGAGCTGTAAGACTCTTGACTCCAGCTAACGTCTCGAGACAGACGATCTAAGAGCCGGGAGGAGGGGGGAATCTCGCCGCTCTGAAGTGGTAATGACCTTCCTCAAATATTTATGTGGCTTAGTGCGATGTAGAGTTGGACAGACTGTGGTGTGTTACCGGAGCACTGTGGGGGAATCTACTTTAAATGTATGATTATTGACCTCTGTCTCGTAGCCTTAAGCCCTTTGGTCAGTGGTTTATGTTCCCAGCAGCTGTGACTGTGATACGCCACACTTCCTGTATTTCTGTTACAGGGCAAACATGTAACTTCCTGTTTGAGTCTGAGCTGAGCTGTTCAGAGCCTGGAGACTGGGGCAGGCAGTGTGAAGAAGGGCTCGTGTGAGGTTCTTATAACCATGAACAGATGCGGTCATAAGCACTTATTAAGCGTTTGGTTTAGGCCATTCCTGAAAGCTTGCCATATATAAAATGAAAAGCGTGTCTTCTTAATAATTTGATGCTTAATGAGAAGCATATGGATTTGTGTAAAGGGAAGACAGGGAATGGTCGGGAGAACATTCCCGAGGCAATGCAGCAACGTTCCCTGATGCCCTTCTGGGAATATGACCACGGTGACTTATTGCCAGAAGCAGGTGGGGGAGTGTATATGCTGATTAGACCAGATAACACCTGGTAAAGAGCTTCGCGAAGATGCTGATGGGGCGGGTCGTCATGGCAACGGTGTTACCGCTTTCTCTCCCGGACTACGGTGGTATGGGCCGGTCGCTTCATTAACCGGGCTGTAACGTTTTGATAAATTTGGGGAGGGGGATCAGGGCTATTTTGAGGAGTTCATATATAACTATACACCTCCTTGGCAAGGTGTTCAGCTGTTAGGGAACTGTGTCTTCATCATATGGTCTGAACTGAAACAAGTGTGACAACTCCTCTGGAAAAAGCTGGGGATTATGACAGCGTTCCAGTTCTCGTTCTCTCTCTCTCTCTCCCTCTCTCATTGACTAACTGCCTTTTCGTGAAACAATACTATCATGGTAGCATCCTCTTATCCTTAAGCCCTCAACAACAGAAGGGCTCAATGTGCAATGAGGCAATTAGGCCTGCCTAAACGACCTTTTATGAATATGCGAAGTACTGTGAAAATATCTTTGTGTATATATAAAGAGAGATAATATTCGCCGGCTAAGCAAGAGCCGATAGCAATTAAAGTCTGAGATATAGAAGTCTGGTTCTCGGAGTAGTAAATTTAATCTCTGCAAACTTCAGCAGTGCGTCGAGAAGCCTGCGGGTATCTTTGCTGATACTAAAGGTGCATTTTGCAATGTGAAACCAGAAAGTTCAAGAATGTTTGATGAACTAGAACTGGCAGCTGAGACTCGATGAGGGAATGTGTCGAGCAAACAGAAAGCTGTGAGCCGTAATTATATTCCTGCTTATCCGTCTATAGTGCTGCTGCATTTCTAGTTTTACAGTTTATAACTGTATTCGATGTTCACTTATGGGGTCTGAAACACACAACCAGCAAGTCTGATGAAAACAAAGGACTGGGAGATTGGAAACATTTACCTTTTCTTGTCAAATACATTTCTTTATCACTCGTTTAAAAATCTGTGTGTGAGTATATGCTCAGGTGTGCAGACCTTATCTGTCCCACATTCTGGTGGTGTCCGTGTTAATGGGGACATTCGACGGATACGTAGCGTGATTAGCAGTAAGGCTGTGGTCTCCGCGCACTTTAAGGCGACCTGCATCAGTGATGTGCAGCTGTGGGGTCCAGCTAGCGCTTACTGAATGTGTGAGATTTGGTAATGCATTTGGAACAAGGCTAAGCTAACAGCTGAAGGCAAATCTAACACCAATCGGCTATACTAATACTAAAAGACTAAGCTTACGCCAAATTAGCTCCTATGTCATGAAAGACTCTTTCCTTGCTGATTTCCATAACCCCCCCATTTCTCCTGAAGATGCTGCTGAGGGTGTGTTCCAGAGGTGCCCCCTTTGGAAAGGGAGTATTTCATGGGAGGGTTTCCAGGTGCCTGTAATCGCTTATCCCACAGTCAGGCTAATCCGCAGTGGCACGGACATCGCTCAGCTCATGCGGGGAAGTGACAGGGGCTCCAGGAGCAGAGCGAAAAGCTGAATATCGTTGCAGACCTCGTTGAGATGTAGCCCATGGGCCGGTGTGGAACATTCCGGTCCCGGTGGGAGGCTTGAAAGCTGGCCTGTCAATCAGCAGTCCAGATGATTATGTGATGGACAAGGACTATTTATAGAGTGACATTTGATTTTTCAGGAGGGGGAGGAGAAACAGCCTGGAATGTGAATAAAGCATGTTGTTTTCCTTCAGTTTACCTCAATGCTTTTGTCCATTGGGGACATTTACAGGGGCGGAGCCTCAGGGGAACCAGACCAAGCTGAAAACTGATTGGCCACGCAGTGCTCTTCCCCTGTCAGTCACTCATTCAAAACATATTATTTGCTAATGGTAAGTTTGGCCTCTCTGTATATATTATGACCCTTCTTATGCCCCCCACCTTACAAAAAATCTCAGAATCACCCCCATTCCCTGTCATTAGCCAAAACTTTCAGCCACTGAGGCAAGAAGATGACGTTCAACAGTCGATCTGTCAAGCTTTCCAGAATGCTAGTTCTTCACGATGACTAACACTGACGTCTGATGCAGCTCGTCTGCCTTCATGCTGACTTGTGTGCTTGTTGTAGCCTCTGTATTCATTAGCGACACGCCGCTTGGGGTTTACTTTTTGTTTAAGATCAGCAAGTTCGATCATATTTCAAGTCGGCCGCTTATGTTTGATGGATTAACAGAAAAAGCGGCCAACCAGGAACCTACTGAATAACTCTTGACAGATCAAGGTTTAAAATATCCTGACAGCGTGCTCTTTTTTTCGTAATCTTTCAGGCACTGGCTTCATTTGCGGCAGAAAATGTCTGCCTTTTTAAAAAGGTGCTAAAATGTTTTATTCATAATGCTAAAAATGGATTTGGCCCTGACAGAATAAGGCACTCGCATTACATCCAGCAGTGCAACATCACGGGGAGAAAAAAGTTATCACAAAAGGCCTTTTGGTCTCTCCCTGTATGAATGCTGCGTGCCTATTTCGCCCCCGAGAGTTAATTTAGCGGTTTGAGGCGAGATTTTGCACGAGCTCCTTGTTTGTTGAGACGTAAAAGCTTTTCTCTGTGGAAAAAAAAGAAAAAGGGATAATAAGAGGAAAACAGAAAACCTCCACAGGAGAAGTATGAGCTTTAATGTGCTTTTATCAGCCTGGATAATCTTTGTGTGTGGAGATTTCGGCTGAGCTACAGGAGAGAGTGGGGTTTTTTGTTTTTCCTTCTAGTAAGTTCTTAAGCAGGAAATGGTTTGGTTAGCTGCAGAGGGGACTGGTTGATCTCTGCAGCTCAGACAGCGGTGCGGGTTCGAGCTGTCTTTGCTGGCAGTCATGATAGAGTCCGCCGGACCAGGCACCACCAG